TAAACCATAGGTCTTCATTCCCATCCTTGGAGGTCGATATTCGGTTGCGTACCTCACGATTCGCATCTTCATTAGTTATGTGAACTGTTAGTGAATAAGATTGTGACCGTGAAGGGTCACATATCTTTGATCCTCAAAACATATAAGATAGGGTTATTTATGCGATTATTGAAGTTTGTGCTCCAGCTTAGACTACAAAGTAGCTTTATATTAGGTGCAATCGTGTTCATTCAAATCTTTTATAAAAAAAGACAACAGCAATGCTCGGGGTGCCTATGCGGATCGGTATAATTATGAGGAGAGGGGAGAAGTAGAAAAAAACCGCATCGAAATCGGTCCATTCGATTAGGAGCTACGGTGCCACAGACAGACACACAGACTCACAGATATACACACATTTCAAACTTATAACATCCCTCTTTTTGGCCGTGGGCATGATCTGAAGGGTTGCTAAGCTTAAGTGGAAATGAACTACTTGAATGTCTAATATTTATGTACGTAGACTGAAAAAAACAAGCATCATATAATGATTTTGTCGGATAGCGAATTTCATAGTATGGGTAAAGCCTTAATAGATGGCTAGACCAGCTCAAACAGAAAAAATGTTTTTGATGATGAGATAAGGCACCATGCAATCTGAATGCTTATAGCCGATTTGCAGAATTCAAAAGCGGTCGTTACAATATCAGTGACAAATTACGTGACTGTTGCCATCTACCGCTGTGAACAACTAAAACATCGATGCTATGCTATACCAACCAAAGAATGGTGGTGGCACTCCGGGAGTGCCGACAGAAGTATAAACTCGAATCTCAAAACTAAAAAAAAGCATACATTTGTAAACAACGTTGCAAACATTACATTTGTTAACAAAAACAAATAAATAAAACGGCCAAGAGCGTGTCGGACTCGCCCACCGAGGGTTCTGTACAAAGGACAAAACACACCCAGCTCCGCCAACAATGTAATTAGTATGAATGGATAGATCTATGAAAAACTAGCCTTTTTTATTATGACACCGTAAAAAAATATCCTGGTAGTCAAAAGATATGACACACTCTTTTACGCCATCCGACGTCACTGAGGCTGTGGAAAGAGTGAATGGAGATCTCACAAGAATATCAAAATGGTGTCGTTCAAATTGTCTAGTACTGAACCCACATAAAACTAAACTTTTGCTCACAGGTACTAGAAATAACATCAATAAGATCAATACTAGCCTGCTGAATATTGAAATGGATGGAGTGCTTGTAGAGAGGGTAAATACAGCAAAGAGTCTAGGTCTGTTTCTGGATAGCCAGTTAAACTTTGAAAATTATATTGTAGAGTGCGCACGTAACTGCTTTTATAGACTAAAGTTGCTGTACAAGATAAGACAATCATCATCATCATCAACAGCCTATTAATGTCCCTACTGCTGGGGCACAGGCATTCCCTATGGATGGAATAAGGAATTTGGGCCATGACCCACCACGCGGGCCCAGTGCGGATTGGCGGGTGCTAACGACTGCAGTTGCAGCCGGGACCAACGGCTTAACGTGCCTTCCGAAGCACGGAGGAGCTCGAGATAGTAAATTTTTGGTCACCCATCCAATGACCGACCACTGCGAAAGTTGCTTAAGTTTAACGATCGCAGCCGAACGCGCTAACCACTTGCGCCATCGAGCTCCTCAATGAACAGTGAATTCACTTTACATGGGCATATTTAATATGCCCATGTAAAGTGAATTCACTTAACTTTTAAGGAGCTAAATAAATTCACTTTATAGTGCCTTCATGTTATATTATTAGTGACCATAATAATATGCCATACAACCAGATATACGACAAAGCCTGCCGACCATCCTGTGCTTGCACTTACTGAACCATCTCAAAACGGTTTAGGGGGGTTGAAGGACTTGCAGTTGCAAATTGTCGACTCGTCTTACTTCGTTGTGATTGTGCACTCCCTGTCACTTGATTGATTTTTATCTAACACGCTTTGGACATTGGAACACGATTATCGGTTTTGTCAATTAGTATGGATGAACTGGAATCATGTTTTCTTCGAAGACTGGACAAGTTTGGGTGATTTGTGGTCCGCTCCCTTTTACATAGAAGACAATTTACTATTACGAACAGACTGTTTGAAAAAACCCCAACCCATGCGGGGATCTTTGGATTTACTCTAACGCGGCAGAATAACACAAATGTTTATTCGTAATAGGTAGTACTTGTACTTATTTAACTAAAAATAACTAAAGACCCCCGGGATGGAATTTGATGCGCTTTGTCACATATGATCATGACTATAATATCTTTCAAACAAATGTAGTTTAAGCCGTGGCGGACGTGGGTGCTGCGTCCATACATTTTTGCCCAATGTCAGGACTGTAATATAAACGGCCGTATTTTTTTTAAGTAAATCTAAAAGGATGATTTTTTACTTACCCTAATGCTGCAAAACGGGAAGAAATATCCATTGCGTAAGCTTTCATATACGGACGTTTATCAAAAATCGTGTGTGATTTTGAAATCGTTCCCCTTTGATAAAAAGTCCGCGACAGCATAATTATGTCTATCTTTTAAGGTTGACTTACTTAAACCTTTTTCCTCAAATTAATGATGAAGAAACCGCAAGGCACAGCAAGTATAAATTTATTTTTTGTGAATAAAAAGACAGGAAATTATTCAATTTTCCTTCTCTCAATGACTTCTTGATGTGAGGATCTGATGAACTGGGGATTTTTCATATAAAAAGTTGAAGTTACATTATTATTAGAACAGCAACAAATAAAAGATATATCACACGCTTTTTGTTTGAAAACTTGATGTAATATACAAAATAATATAAAAAAACTCGTTTGGTTTCTTTCTCTCTCGTATGGGTTTGGTTTTATGTACATTTTTCCTGTTATGACTTTCCTGACTAATTATCTGTTATCGTAAAATTTATTGTTCCAAACTGAAACTCGAACGATTATATCTCGTCACGAGGTCTTAATTTTTATGACGCCATTCCATTTATTATCAAAAAGTTCCATTTGTATCTTGAAATTTAATAATTATAATTAAAGCTATTCTTGTACAGACCGCGAGCCCCCCACGAATTCACCTCATGCTTGATAAAAGCATAGGTCAAAATTAACAGACACATTATCCTACTGAAGTTGCGTACATTTCCATAATAGCGATTTGATATGCTGAGTATAAATTATAAATATTATAATACTCAATTTGATCAATCCAACCAGCGTCATTGAAAGTGTATCAGCAGATTGTTTTGTAATCTATATAACGATACTTTGAACTTTTCACCTTTGCAAGATTTGGTTGTCAAGTCCTACACCTATACCTCAAATGGGAGACATTGGTATCGATTCTGACATTATTCTCTAAACCTAAACTTAAAGACAATAGTGTATCTTTACTATACAGAATGAAAAGTAAAGACTGATGTTAAAATTAAGTTTAAGTTTAGAGAATCATGCCAGAATTGGCATTACTATAAGTTAAATAAGTGATACAGATCACCCGATCATGTATCAAGCTTAGTGAATCTGCGACCGTGGCTACAACTCTTTTGTTTTATTTAGATTGAGGTCAAGCAAAATTGCTGCAAATGGATCTTAATTACTAAAACCTTGTCTTCCTAAAATCTCCTACCTCCAACTTATTGGCATAGATAAAGACATATCTATAAAGACCCTACTAGAATTTTCGGTATAGATAGTAGTATTCACTTAAGAGTAAAATACTCTGGAGCACTAGATAAGTAAAGATAATATTATATGTTTAATTGTTAATTATAGTTCATTTAAAGCTACTACTTATATCTTAATACAACATTAACCTTCCTTCTGGCACAGTGGGGTTTATATTAAATTGCTAGGTTATTAAATTTTCCTTTTAACTACTGGTTAAAGGAATTTAAAGTATTTTACTAAATAAACTATAGATTCGTAAATATTATTATGAATTGAGGAAAATTTATATTATTATTATTAATAGATGTACTTGAAGGTAAAACTTTTCTTGACCATTTAAATTTTACTACACGGGGGAGAGGGGAGAGGGAGGACATAATCATTATTTAAAATATCTTTAAAATCCCTATCAGACTAGACATCGCACCATAAGATAGCAGAGAAAAAATAACATTACCTTTAAAGGGAAACCCACATTTACAAGATTTATTCTATCACTTTGTCAGTGTAACTAATAACTATTTCAATGCCATATTTGGTACTGGTAAAATTGAACAGTGGTACGGTAAAATTGACGGATTGACGGAAATTGACGGAAACTATACAGGTTCCTTGTTGACTACGGAAATCTAACTACGGACCAGTCAACTTTCATTTATAAGCGTTCAATTGCCCCTTTTTAACATTTTTACCGAAATCTAATAAATTACATGAAGCTATTGAGATTAAAAAATATCCAAATTTCAATAGGGAAGATGGTTGGTATATATATACCACCAGTTTGGGAACCTATTGTACAACAGATAAAATCCCAACCCCGAACACACACTGCAAGACCAATAGACACTATTAGTTCTTTTTGTTTGCATGATTTAACATAAGAAGGAGCCTCTATGAGTTTGTTTCGCCAGTTCTTCTCAGAAAGGAATTTTGGAACTGGTGGTAGTTTGCGGTTATTAAAATCAAATAAATAAACTCAAAATTATAAAACAGGAATTAAATAAAGTACTTTATTAATTAAATTAGCAAATAAATTCATACATAGATTATAAAGTTTTACAAATCTTCCAATATTTCCTTCGAAATTTCAGTAAAAGTATTTCGCAGGTTGACGACCTCCGTGGCCGAGTGGTTTGTACGCCGGGTTTCATGGCGTCGCCGACTCGAGAGGTCCCGGGTTCGAATCCCGGTGGGGGCAGATGTTTGTGTGATGAACACGAGCATTTGTACTCCAGTCATGGATGTTTAAATATGTATTTCTATATAAATATAGTTATATATGTAAAAGTATATGTATTCTATCCGTTACCCTAGTATATATATATATATATAAAAATATATATACATATAAAGGTAGCTCGACAAAGTAAATAAAATCATAATCCTGACGACGCAGCCTGAAAATGATTCGAAACGTCATAAATAAATAAATCAGTGCATATATACCGTTTAAACTTGTTTTATTGAAATTACCTGAATATTAAACTTTTATTGATAACTTAAGCTCATTGACCAATTTTTACATTTCTGTTTTGACATTCGAAGAAGTTATATAATACTTCTGTCTACTATTTTAACTCTTACATCAAGAATAATTTGAAAAGAGGACCAAAAATATGTGGTTGATAACCTCAAGCTCACCTATTATTTCTTCAAAATTACAAATAAAAAGTTTATTCATGCATTTTTTTGGAAAGTAGTAACATAGATGAAAGTTTTTTATATTTTTCAGTAATAAAATTGGGGATGAAAGTTTTTTTATGAAGTTTATAAAAAACTTTCATCCCCTATTTTAGTACTGAGGGCATGCTTTCCTGAAATGCACCAATTAACTTTTATTTGTAGCAATGAATGTTACAAACACCTAACCTAACCTAACCTAACCAGTGGTTAGTTCTATCTTCAAAATTGAAGAAGTTTCATACAAACTTCCATTCCCTATTTTTACCTCTTAGAGGGTAAATTTCAAAAAAGGCCTTCTTGGGGGGTTTTTTTTCATTATTATAGGAAACTTTGTATTAAATTTCGAACTTCTAGACCAGTTTCGGTTGTGCGTTGATCGTTCAGTCAGTTAGCCAGTAAGTTTTGACTTTTATATAAAGAAATATAAGTGGATCGGTACAACTTAGTCTCTACAAAACAAGATCACGCCATCTTAAACTTTATAAATAATTATTGTATATACATACTGTTTTATCACCGAACTATCGGAGCGGGGCAATACTTTATACCCCCTGTGTTACCATGCCGAAATCGTGGGTGTGTCCGCCCAAATGTCGCTATCCTTGTCACACAGTCGTTTCGTGATCACATTTTCTTGATAACAAGGCTCATGACGTTCATCCCGTTCTAAAAACATACTTGTTTTCGAGCTGTTTTAGCCCTGTGTCCATGTTTTCAATTGCATATCATAGAGTTGAATGTTTTTCCACTATTTATCTTGTCGCCAATGAAAATATGTTTTGACATTTAATTTTATAACATCTTGTTTATCTTAACGCATGATCAAGAATAATTTATTGTCCTTAGGTATATTATGTGTAACCTAGGTAGGCCGATTATTAGTTACTAGGATGGCCTAATTAATAAGCAATTAATCTTGGGTTAATTATGATTATCTTATAAATAGATTGGTAGGTATACATATTGTTCTGAAACATAAGCATTTTTTTAATAAATTTTCCATTTATACAAATAACTGATAAATGTGCTTAAAAATTAAGATTGTACGACGACCTTTGAGCCGATAGGCCAGTTGGTTGCTATCTTCGAGGTCTCTGATTCTATTCCCCGCTGTGTCAATTCAGAAAACATAAAAAATATATTACTTATGAACAGTAATATAATATGTATGTTTCTTTGGTTGATATTTCCTGTTATTAGGTACTTACTACGTCTTTTTCTTTATGCTTTTCATTCAATTTACAGTTCCTAGTATAACGGATTTTTTATACGTCTTCATGAACTTTCATGGAAAAAGTTTGTGGTATTGGCAGCATAATGCAATCACATTGCCAACACATACATGTAACTGGATTTACAACAATGAAAGAATCACATTATAATATCTGCCTATCATGAAAATGTCTGTTTTATGTTAAAATGAATTTGTTAAAATTGGTACTCAACACAAATAAATCATGTAATTTTGTTAAATGTAAAATCTTTGTGTAATTTAGTTCGTATTTCATAAGCTTTCTAAATAATCGATCCAAAAATAGTCTCCTCTTATTATTTCCATGAGTTTATTATATTTCTATTAAAGGTAAATATTTGTTGAAACAGCCCCCTTTATAACCGATTTCAAAAATGTTGAAGAATTCAATGCAACTGTAGATTGTTACGTTATTATTCCACACAATATTATGAAATGATTTTGTTGATTGTTTTTGTTTGAATCAGTTATCTTTGCGGAGTATGGAGATTAACAATTGAATTTCTTAACGGCAATCAGTACCCATATTATTGGGTTTCATTATTAAGAAATACAAGAGAGCAAATGCTGCCAGTCAAGGTAGTAGCAGACCCGGTTAGTAATAATTTGCAGTAAGACTTACTAGTCGTTAGTATATTATTATTAATAGAGAATAGAGCGACTGTGCGATAGTTAACGCATTTTTTAGTCAAACTTTTTTGTGTAGTGGAAGGATGGTCGACTGAGTCGCCTTGGGTCACTCGCCGTTCCGCCATATGTGAATAGTTCAATAATTAAATTCTAGTAGGCTGAGTCCCCAAGACATTTGTGTTGCTTGTTGGTAAGAAACGAAAGCAAAATAAGCTCAGTTTTTGTGGAAGTTGATAACTGAAAGTAGCGGTTAGTCCGCTTATATTTATCTGACTTATAAAGAAGGAAAAATGCGTGTCGGATCTGTATTATATTTAGAATTTTCGTAGATAAAATCTAACTATCATAATAATTATATTTGTTAGTAAAATATAACTATAAACCAAAAATTATTATCAAAATTCAAATTCATGAGTCATTGGGAAGTTAAAAAAAAATCTTTATAACGCAGGAAATTTTTTTTATTCTTAAAAAAATATTTGATGCACGTGTTTCCCTCTTTTTAATAATGTTAAACTTTTATTTAAGCTCTCTACAAATGAAAAATTACCATTTCCCAAAATCTTCACGAAAATCGGAATAAACAGGTTTCCCCCTTTAAAAGGTGGAAAATCGTAACGACGCATTTGAATTTACTGAGAATTTTTTCCATAGTTACGTACATTTTTTCTATACCATCAGAAAGAAGAGGTTGCAAAGAACAAAAAGCATGCAGCAAAACTTATATTTTTTTTTTAACTTATAAGTTCTCACCAATTTTCGTAAAATATTTTTTTGGCTATCAATTTAAAACTAAATTCTGTTGGTTATTATATTTTTTGAAAAATATGATAATAAAAATACAATGTCACAATTATGTATTTACCTTTTTACACGTTACCTAAACATACCAAATATTTAGGTAACGTGAAAAAAAGTAAATACATAATTGTGACATTGTATTTTTTTTGGATAGAAGTTGTAGTTTTCCTGAAAATCACGATAAACCGTTTTCCCTCCTTCAGATGTCACCGCCTCACCCTTCTCGACCTGAAATAGCCTGTAACTCTTACGTTGTATGTGTTCTTTTGGAATAGATTACTTGATTCGATTTTTCTTTGTTCTCAAAAATTATATATTAAACAGTATACAACGCGTCTAACTTGCGACTATGATGGTTAAGCAACTGCTTTAAAGTTTGGTTGCTACATGGGTGACATTTATTCCGCAGAATCTAAAGGGTTCTCCAGAATATAAATGTGCTATTAGTTCGCCCCGCCTTCAATAGTAATATTTACCTCTTAGAGTCCGAGATGTGATCGTTAACTCAGGCTAAGTCTACACTAAGTATACTCTCTATATTTGGCACTAAGCTTGGCACTTACAGTACGGTCTTACTCTTTACTTAAGTGCCAATTAAATCAACATGCTCAGTTAATTAAACCACAATAGAATCTGCGTTACAGGATTATCCATTTTCATCCATACGAAGTTTTATGACACAATATAGGAAGTTGTATATTATTTGAACGATGCTGTTTTGAACTTGTTAATCTACGTCACATTTTATACAATCATGATTTCTGTGAACTCAAATTAAGCAGAATTATTAATTGTCTAAAATATACATTGTTCTCACAATGTACTACTAATCTTTTAACTAATAATGAATGATATAGATGTGTCATTGACGAAAAAAATCTGTCTGTTAATTGTCTAACTATAAACGATTTTTTTTAGAAACAACGTCAATGATGATATGTATCAATATGACAATAAATTTTCATATCTCATTTTATTTAATTAACTCAAATCATTCACAGTATCTATTATAGTATCTTTAAATGAAAAGTTCATTTTATAATTAGCACTTAAATTTAATGCATATGCACTTTGGGTTTACTCTCATTTACTGCTTGGGTTGGCATGGTACTGACACCTAATGTTAATTTGACTTTAAATGTGGTGTAGTTTTAAGAGAAGAATATTTTTTTTGTGCTTTTGTTAATATGAAGTCGGTTTTAATTTTCGTTGGAAAAGTTTTTTGTCGTAGCACAGATGTAGGCATCGCGACGTAACGCGTTGTTTTTGAAAGCTTTTATTTCACTTGGAATGTATTCATGTTTGTTTGGATGGAATCTTGCAACTGAATTTTTAACCAGATGTCTGCATTCGATTGAGCTGAAATTTCACGTTTACTTTGGATGACAATGCATGGTTAGCTGTGTGTCGTCATTCTAAATCCAATATGGCGGAACATACAAGATTGCTTACTAGTTATATTTGATTCACTGCTATAATATGAATATAAAATTGAAGGGCTTGCTGAGAATAATATTCAAAAACATATTGAAGGAAGGAAATCTAATATGGCGGACTTAAAAAGATGGCGGACAAAGTTTTTTATACTTTTCTACAATATGGGTACCTATCAAATGAAAGTACTATTTACTTAGAATATGGGGTTTTTGAAGTCTTTGATTATGTCCAGCGATAACTGTTTTATATTATATAAATTGTGTAATGACGTTATAAGTTGATAGTAAAAGTTTTGAAGGTTTTTTTTATAGTCTTTTTAGCGCATTTAAATAAAAGCTTTTTTAAAATAGTTTTTTTACATCTAATTTTTATTAAATAATATTGTAATTATTGTTTTTGATACAGTTGGGATTCAATTTTACTTAAAATATACCTTTTGATTTGATAGAAAATAATATGCTAAATTATGTCATGGTAAGAAAGAAAGCATGCACATATTTTCTGAAAATTACGAACGTTGATCTCCTATTTTAAGCTCTTTCGTAGGATCAAACAAAAAATTAAACCTTTATTCAAAGTAGTTAGCTACCATATGTGTCACGTTTTTAGCTCCAAACTTTTCGAAACTATAAAGAAAAAAAAACTAGCTTGTGCCCTCTACTTCGTTAGAGTATTATTTAGATTTGCACATATTTTTAACTTTTGTTTCCGTAAAAACCTTCTACGAAGTCTTAGAAAGTTATGACGTGAATGACTAAGGAAAAAAAGATTTATATTTTCCTCTATTTTAAACCTTTAGGCCCACTTACAGCAAATTTTCTAAATCTCGATTCACATAAAACTATACCTATGCCATAGGAAAATGTTCAAACGTCAGCGTCAATTTGATATCATTGTATGGACTATATCTAGTTTTAGTTAAATTGAGATTAGAAAATTGCTGCAAGTGGAACTTAGATTCAATTTCCAAAAATCCCTTTAACGTGCTCACTTATGCCATTAAAGGTGCGATGATCAATCAGTAATGCATTCTTTTTTGGCATTTAAATTATTTTTTTCTATTTAAATTATTCAACAATTACTTTTACTATTATTTTCAAAAAAAAAATGGAACTAATGGAAAGAATATAAGTAAAGTATAATTGAAGATGTTTTTATGAGAATTATATTGTTGTCACATTATCGTGTAAGATTTAAAGCATCACGACATCTGGGCGTTGCTTTGACGTAATATCGTGCGACAGTTATCGTTCATATATATATTGACGTCTTGTTACTCCCCGATGTATTTTGTCCATTACTTATCTAAGCTCCTTACCTTGAAGCTTCTCCGATACGTTCTGGCAAGATCGCTAATTATTCCAATAATTACAGTAGTTCGTAATATAATCTAACAGTATTCACATATTAACATAAAAGTATTAAACATACTTAATAATTTATTTTTATTTCATTGTTAATTATTAAATTACAATTGAGTGCAAAATGTGTTGTTACAAGAATAACGGAATGTGCGATCTCTGTAGAGAGTTCCAGTTGTCCCTTCTGCAAAGTAAGATTTAATTATTTGGTCAAATCAAAGTGCATGCAATTAAACTTATTTAGAAATATAGTTTCAGGTACTTATCAAGTTGATTTCATTTATTAAGTTCAATTTTAGTTAAAATAGCTCTACATGGCAAATATATATTTTAGTTCATACTCTTATAAAATCATAAGTGAAACAAAATTAATTAAGGTCCATTCGAAACTCAACAACCAAGAATTTAACCACAAACTCCTACAGTATTTAAGGTAATGTTTCACGCGTTAATGTCCCGTATTGTCCACAGGTCTGCTCAAGACATTCCCAAGCGCTGCACCCAAAATCGAAACTGGCAAGTTCGTCGTGCAAGATGACAGCAATAGTATGTACCCGCTGTCACCGCCGGAGACCAAGCCAAGTCGCGCCGAACTTGCCAACGATCTGTTGCAGCAGCTAGACAACCAATGCAAACAAGGTTAGTACTTATTTTTTACAGCTTTTTTGATTTTTATTAGCAAAAGGAGATGGATCTGTTGAAGGCGAGAAGCTTGGTGGAGCCTCTTTAAAGCGGCTTGCACATCCTGCGCAAGGGCAAGTTCGGCGCACGACGGTTTCGAAAATTCTCTAACACACCTGCCAGTCATTCAGTGGGAGAAACATTGATATAAATTGACAAAAACCATTAAACCCTGAAACTACATTAAAAATGCAATTAAGATTGAATCCAGAAAGTAACCTGAGGCAGGGATAAGCGTGACCAGCTTTAGCTTATGAATGCTGCGTCTCCACAGTGAACGAAGGGGAATCATCACGGATTTGTTAACTAACTAGGTATATAATAAGATAAAGGTAATTGAAAAGCTTTCACTGAAAAGAGTGAAGTGAGCAAAACTTCCGATCATAGTGGGCACATAGGTTGCAACTTTTTTCATTTCATACGGGTAGCGAACGATCTTTTTACCCGCTTGATAGTAAGTGGCTATCATTAGCCAATGGACGCTTATAAAATTATGAGTATCTGAGCAGATGAGGTCAGATTAGGCATTAGTACGTTGGCTAGATCATCCCTTCTCTATCGTGCTCACTGCAGGAACTAAATGACTTATTATCTAGAATAATATTTTTTAATGCATACTGCTGGAATGTGTAGGATACCTATGGAAGTAGTATGGAGGTAGAAGTTACATTTCAAAACAGCGGTAAATCCGCTCGCCATAATACAGCTGTAACCTACAATTCTTGTGAATTGAGACATGATATTCGAGACCACCATTAAGGTTACTATTCTGAAACATATATTTCGATGAGCAATATCTTATCGAGCCCCAAGATACAGAATGTTAGGGCATCAGGCTAAACCCAGTTGCTACAGGCAATATGGCAAAACCGTCTGAAGTTGAAGAGTAAGTATGTTGTTTCTCTTGTAATTCGTAAATTATTATATCAATTACCAGATATAAATTCCTTAAGCCTTTGCTAAACTTAATCCAGGAGCGATTTAACATCTAACTTATCAAAGAGAAAAGTTTTAACTTTCATCTGAAATGGTTTTCATACAAACCAACAACTACATAATTACAGTTTTTGTTTTACACTCCAAAATGTTTTTCTATAACGATTCAATTCATCCTGTAATTTTCTGATCTATCCTTATTTTCGATCTTAATATTTATTTATAAAGAAACCCCTGATGTATGTGTAATGTCTGAGTGTCTAGTCAATCCAAAACTTTGCTCGATGACTTGCATTTAACAACTTTTTTAATAGTCACTTTGATGAAGTAGCCATGTTTAAAATATGCCGTTCCCCCATACGTTATCGACAATGTTGCTTGACCTCACTATATGAGTGTTACACATACATGTCCTATTGGGACCATTGTAATTAATTACATCAAAATAATTATCTTCGACATAGTACAATATTAAACGATTAATACTGAAGACTTGTAAGATGGGACAAGCTTGTAAATCTGTCATTAATAACTTTCGAACTTTAAAGAATAATTATAACGCTGAAGTAGGTGTAGGATGGTGTTGGTTATAATAATGAAAGATAGAGTTACTACTGATGAGACACAAAACTATAGGTTTCTAGTTTGATTTTTAGTTTCAATATTTTTATTTAATTACTAGCGACCGCCCGTGACTTTTTCCGCGTTAACTTTAGTTTTCTGTGAATCCCACAGGAACCGAACATTTTCCAGTATAAAAAGTATAATATATCTCAATCCAGGTCAGAAACTATATGCGTACCAAATTTCATCCCAATCCGTATAGTAGCTTTTTCGTGATCGATTTACAAACATACAAACTCTTTACATTTATAATATTAATAGGAAGTAGGATATTCCACATAAATAAACATATAATTTCTTCCGTTAGTTAATATACTAGACACACCTCTTATTTTTAAGCTTAATCATTAAAACTATGCGTGATCTTACGACAGCTTATCATTAACTGTAATAGCCAATTAAAAAAATATTTTTTTAAAGATAGGGTCATCAGATAAGTTCTTTCTGTGTATATTGACTCCAATCTTTCCATTTCGGATGATAAAACTTAATTTGACTTATCGAATTACATTATTGTCACTTGTGTTACTGAACTCTCACATTTAAAATATAACTTAAAAACTTTAAAATGCATTTTTATCGTTTTGTCACTACTCTTACTTAAGTAACATACTTAGTTAAAATACGGTCCGAAATTAGAGTAAGATATCACTAAGGAAAAAGATATTTTTCATTTTACATTTTTATATAAGTACAATAGATGTATTTATTGCATATAAGATTAAGAATAAAGAAATAAAAATATTTATTTATTAACTTATTTAATATTTTACTCCGATGATCCGTATTCTAAAGTCGGTCAAAATTTATTAAAAATATAGTTAGTAGAAAATATTCATATAATGTGCTGTTGTCCATAAGCAGGAAGATTTTTAAAATTTAATTTTTAAAATGCTTGGATTTTCCATTTTTTTAACATAAAAGTGAGATATAAGGTAATAAAATTTTCTATTCTAATGAGTAGAAAATCGACAAAGAGAGCGAAGAAAAGTTTTCCAAGTTTAGAGAATTTAAATGGTACCTAGAGACAGAGACACAACTCACAATAGTTGTTTCACCTGAAAAAGTCTGACTATAAAAAGTGTACTAATCTTACCCTTTTATATGATACTTATACTATATATTATATACTTTTTATATGTATCTAATGGAACCGGTTTATTTAAAAAAAGTACTTAAATAAGAAGTGGATCACCTACGAAAAAAACGTACGGTGCGCACGATTATGGTCAAAGTGCGATTGAGCTCCGAAAACTGGTGGGATCTAGATGCGTTTTTGTTTTGTTTATGGCGGTTAGGAGGGTATCATTCATAATGAGCTTTGACCTCCTTACAAGATTCGTATCGGAGACACATTACTTTCATTTGTTGGTTGTTGGAGCTATTCACGTGGCCCTTATTTTTTTACGTCACCAATTTGATCGGTGAACGTTCACGAAGGCAATCTTTACTGTCACTTTCTGATTTGCTCTTTATTTAGTTTCGTGTGTACATATTTTCGGTTCATAATTCTGTTGTTTTGTTAGTTTCTTGTGCGTCAAAGAAGCGGCATTATAAGTATTACATTTTGACATACAAGTACTAGAAGTTTATGAGTCCCATTTTATAAGGGAAACATTGATGGTACTGCATGTAATTCTTTCAAATAAAGATTTTTTAATATTTATGTTTCAAAAGCCTTTATCACATTTTCACTCAAAAGAAAGTACAAAAAGAAATATAATTTTTGGTAGGCCCGAATTCATTGTTTTTATGGGATTCATAAAAATCTACGTATTTTAAGCAAATAAAAATCATAAATAATATATTTAATGAAAATTTTTAGACTTCTGTTGGGAAAAAAAAATCCCCATGTAAATAACTAGTGTATAATTATTATTTTTGAGTACGTATTAGAAAAGATGTTGTAGCCTATTGTATGGTTTTATAGCATAACACATAGTTTATTATGCCACACTTCAGCACAACTTCAACATCACTTCCGGCCAACACAGCGACAGGCTGGTAACCTTGTTAACCTGTCGCATAAAAGTTTATGAAACTGTCTTATTATGTGCGCGGAAAATTTACTCTTTTTTAATAATTAATTCTTTTTTTTGCACATTTAAATTTATTCAACAGTAGAAAAAACGCATTCATGCAACAAAAAAAAAAGTATGATTTTGTTTTTCTGTGTTATATATATATTACTGTAGAAACGAATATTATTGACTGAGACTCCTGAGGACCATATACACTGAATGATTTTGAGGTTATGTTTGCAAATAGGCACATATGTATTAAAATAATAAAAAACAAATTAGTTATATAGTAAACTAGGGAAATCAAGCCAAGTACCGATATTATGTATTAGATTCAGGTATATACAGCATTTAGATTAACGGATAGTTGCCTGTTTTTAAAGTTAATGCACAAGAGTAACTTTTAAAATCAGGTATCATCTATGCATTTCCGGTTATATTAAGGTACTCTGTGACAGAAACTGTGTGATGATTGTGAATGAGCCACAGATTAGAGAGAATTTTTAAACTCTCGTTAACCAAAGAAAGCTTTAGGTTATTTATATCTTCAGTAGCTTCATATATTTTATGCATATAATAATAAGATTGTTTTACATAAACATTATTCTGATTGTTTGCTATCTCAAACAGCGTCTCATATCAAAAGAAAAGGCGAAACCATCTTATGCACCGGCGATAGCATTTGACAACATACCGTAGACTAATTTAAATAAGGTCTATTTTATATATTTTATAATTACTCCATCTGGTTAACAAAGGTAACCATATCCTATACAGGGTGTTACAAAAATACAAATAAAGCTTGAAGGGCGTTGAAGTACATCATATAAGAAGTCTTCTCTAATTTTCTTTAAATATTTGCATGAAGTTTTAACTTTTTATAAAAACAGTTATTTTTAATGATCCTCGAACTAGTGACGTGTCTTAAAACGATCGATATTTTTATTAACCATTAAAAATAACTGTTTTTATAAAAAGTGAAAAGTTCATGCAAATATTTTAAGAAAATTAGAGAAGACTCCTTATATGATGTACTTTAACGCCCTTCAAGCTTTATTTGTATTTTTGTAACACCCTGTATATTTTGATTAGATCCGCGAATAACGAAATTGTTTACCGCGAATATGGGGATTTGGTCGTAAGTTTTTAATCCGCGAATAGTGAAAACGCGAATATAGGAAACGTGAATAAGGAGCTTTTACTGTATATGTCAATATTTTTTGTACATTTGGGCCAATAAGAGCAATCTCCTTCGGTTATAACTAAACGAGATTTACCAAAATTGCTGTAAGTGGACCTAATAGGCCAGGCCAGGGCCGATAATTTTTAAGAAAAGGTCGAGAATTGTGACGACGATTTGCGTTTTCTGAGAAAATTTCCCTTAGTAATGCATATTTTTTGAATACCCCTAAAAAGTAGAGGTCCCATAAAGTTTTTTTTTGAAAGCAACTTTTTGTCGTGAGATTTTTCGTTTGAAAATAAGGTTACTTTTTGATATTCGTAATACTCGTAATATCAAAATAAAGAGTAAATATAAATACTTTCTATAAAAAATATTAGAGCGTAGATATTATTGTTTGGGATATAAAATGGTAAGTTTTCACCAAATCTCGTGCAATATAAAGTTTTTTTTTGTGGGAGATAATAATAAAAAACCGAATATTTTGATTTTTAAAGGCATCCCACTCTGGTCTATGAATAATGTAATTAATTTGGAGAATTAAATTGTAAACTTACCTACAAATGTAATAAATGTTTCTTATAATCGCCCTCTTAGAGATGATTATTTAGAAAGAAATATTTAAATTACAAAAGCTTAAAACTACTCAATGTCTATAAATTTTAAATTAGACTTATCTCAAAACTTACCTGCTTGCCTACTTAAATACTGTTTCTTATTATAATTATTTTTTAAATTCTAACCTATGACGAGTTCTTACAATAACAGAAGATTTTCTTATCAAGAAATTGTGCGAGTTAATTATATCACTATTATTTAAATGACTTAAAGTAAGTACATAAGATTCCGACAACAGAACATTACATTTATGGTAACATTATTAAAATAGTCATAGAAGATAATAATATTGCATTTTGAATAAAATCGATATTGTCTTATAATATTAATATGTAATTCGTTACGTGAGCTCTATCGGCGACATAGATTATTCCACGAATTAATTATTTTGTTTTGAATGCATTTTCCTCTTATATTACAATATCTTGGATCCTTATCAGCAGCAATGCATAATTTAGGTGTTTGTCCACTAATGCCCTTTTATATGTTTACTCGTATATATTGTTCTTAATTGATTCAGTTAGCAGTGAGTGTATTAAGGTGCTGTCCCACGATCTGTGTTGTCAAGGGCGAGGCCGCGCCGCACAGGGTTGCCAAACGTATGAGAACGCTAACGTTCGAGAGTTAGCAGTATCTATACATGATACGAGAGGTAAATAGATATCTCGTACACTTTAATATGGGATTTGAACAATGTTGACTGTTTGTGTCATGTACACAAACCAAAAATATCAGAAAGTAAATAAATGTCCAGTCCACAAAAGGTCGTTTCAGTAAGTGCAGATTCATTATACCATCACTAAATGCGTCCTTATTCGTATCATCGTATCATCACCACGTATAGATACTGCTAAATCTCTGAACGTTAGAGTTCTCATACGTTGGGCAACTCTGCGCGGCGCCTCCTCGCCCGCGACAACATAGATCGTGGGACAGCGCCTTTAGGTATCTGATTGTCGGGCGTGTAGGGGCCGGCGTTACGGGGGAGCTGCGCGCGCGCTCTCTTCTCAGTACCTAGGCGATACGCGTCGCGTTTACAGGTGTCGTACGTTCGTGTTATACACCCGTGACAATAAATTCGATTCGAGGAGGAAAGTTTGAGCGTTCGCGCTCTATACCCAACCTATGTCTGCCGCGATTCATGCGCCCCTTGGATTCTGTTAGAATGAAGTGCCACTATCGCTGCATTTGGAACAAAGAAATAGTGTTCAACTCACAGAAACTTGTAAAGAGACGTTAGATCCTCAGGATTGGCCTGGATTTTCTACGACGACCATAGCACACATCACGAGGATCTTACACCACTGCCCCATTATAATTGTATTCAAGTTATTTTTAATATATGTTGTAGCAGATAGAACTGACGAGACATTTTTTTGTGTGGACTTTGTGTATCCATCGATTCTCTGAACTTGCTTTCGTGATGGCAATGTCTGATTTCTATGTTGGTATGTATCATTCCACAGAGCGTGGCTTTTGTTTGTTTTGATCTATTGAAAGTTAGTGTGGCAGAAAGGCAATCAAGGTCTGAATGCATGGGTGCTTATTCGGTGTTTATGCAATAACCGTCACAATTTACGATTCTGTAAGGAACTGTAACGAAGGTCTTGCGATAAAATGTTTATATTATGCTCTGAATTGTGTAAGTTCTGGGTCGGAAATTGGAACGAGCTCTTACTACGCAACAAACAAGTTTCTTTGCTACATATTTCCATTTGTCCGTTTACTAAGAACAACAACACCTTGATACTGTGTTGTGGTGCAATTAACACGAATAATTCAATTAGTATTTCATTTAGTGGTTTTTATATGACGTAGCTAATGACAATATTATCATTTAAAAGGTTTATCATTTGGTCCCACCAAATGTTTATTTCAAACTATTGATTGAGGAAAGTATATTGAATCAATTTTATTATCACTCTTTGATGTTTAGCGGGCATGGAATTCACGTGGTTGCGTGTGCGAGTAATGCACTGCAGCCTCAAAGTGCTGGTGTAACTGATTAGCGCAAGGCGTTACAGTTACATGTTATTTAGACTTGTATTGATGCGCGCTTCGGTGACTGAATAAAACGGAATCTCTCAACACTTGCGCCGCAATTGATAAACCAGTTCGCTCACAAGGCGACCTCGCTGGGTAGCTGGCCAATAATTAAACCGACTTATTGGTCACTTTTCGTTTGAACAGTTTGATACAGATAATATGAGCGAGTGTTGCGTTTTGCACGGAAGACGAAAAGTTGTCGGCCACGCGGCTAGTGCGTGATGTCGAGGCTGTTTTAGCAACCACGTTGTTGACACTGACACGCGTATAAATATAACATTAAAATGAGTTTTTATTTATAAACAGCTTATCATCTAAAATCAGCGCCTAAAAATAAATTGAACTCTTAATTTAGGTCCTGCCTCAGATTTACTTAGAGTAAGGGTATGGAGGTTCTGTTTACCATTCAGTTTATATAGTAAACACACCTTTTCCTCTATTGTCTCTGCTACTTCAGCTAGTAACTATCAGTTCAGTTCATTAATACATTGTTATAAATGTAATTTTATAGTTAAAATGAAATGAATATCATGATTTGTAGACCGGTTACAAAGCTGTGAAAGTCGAAAAGTTACGAGTCCGTACGAGTTTAAAATATTAACAAACTACCTAGCTACTTAATTTTCATCCTTTGTTAACATCGGTCTTATCTGCGATTCGTGTCAACAGGAAAACATTAAAATATCTCAATCATGCTAGCTTCAAAGTTAATGATTTGCGTCGTAAATATTTAAAAATTTACGTAGTGTCATTGACACTAAATAACAGTTAGGTTAGTTAGAAAACAGTTACATCGATGTTTAAACATGTCGGTGTTGACGATCGATGTCACATTTTATCGCGAGGGCGGTGCGGCTACGAACTTTAAGATTATACGAGTTTATCTGAGGTCGACGCAGCAAATCGCGTTACGCATTTGCCGCTAGTTCAGGAGGAAGCCTCGTAATAGTAGTAATAAGACATTTCACCGAATATCATTCGAATTTGAGACACCCAGCCCCGTCAATTAATGTCAATTGATTCTGAATGCGTCTGTTGGTAAACCACACCATGTTGATTCATATGCTCCAATCCAAACACTTAATGTGTTTGAATCTAAATTGTCTTTGTTGACGTGTAAACTTATTAAGAATGCCGTTGTTGGATTGGAGGCCGATAGAGACCATAAAACAAAAGCGCTTAATGAACAAATGTTTAATGCACTTAAAACAAAAAAAGGTTTTAACTGTGCATACTTTTGTAGAGTTATGACACGATGGTCATAAGATAATATTCGTATTATACAATGGCTGTGCAAGCTTGCTTCGCTGCGTGCAACATGAGATAATGTTTATTTAGTTCAGGGAGCCTGTGCACAGTTAACGGCGTGCTTATCAAGCGAAACATTTGATCTTGTGTCAATGTCATAAGACACTGTTTGCCTTAAATATAATTGCTGTAAACGCAATGAATAGATACGACATTGCATTCGTCGTAAATATAATCATTAACTTACTAGATAAAAGAAAACTGGTTTTGGTAGTTAGATTGTATTTATTATTTATTATTTATTAATTCATCTGGACCTGCGTATGGCTTTAATGAATACCTGTTCGATCTAGGCAACTGGATAATCTAAGCTAGTTTAAAATATTCTAATACTATGAATTAAATATATAAATTCCTTAGGTGAATTCAATGAATGCGTGATATTTTTTTTATTACTTTGTAATGTCCTTTATTTAGTTCTTAGGTCGACGAGACAATTCGTGCAGAACGTGCATACTTTAAATGACCTCTAAACGGTTCTCGAAAAGACTACCAAAACTATCAATATTATTTTTCGATTGTTGTGCATTCTTTATTGACGATACGTTTTTCTTCTTTGCAGAAAACATTTTTTCAACTTGGCTGGAGGAGAAAGTAGATCTGCCTATCTTCGAAAACATCAACCAAGTGCCGGAACGCGTGGAAGTGATTCCACCGCTGGCCGTGCCCGTGTCCGTGTCGGTGCCGAGCGCTTACACTGCGCCGCAGCCCACGGAGGAACTGCTGCGGGAGTTTGAAACGGTTTACGGTGCTGTGGAGCTGACGCACCTAACGCCGCCGCAGAGCCCGCCCGGCCCCGCCACCCAGCTGCTTCTCAGCTACGCGCAAAACGCCCAGTGCGCGCCCCTCGCGCCGCTGCCCCTCGCCCAGCACGAGCCGTGGTCGACCGTCGCACCCGTCCCAAGCATTCCCGTAGAGTACGACACGGAACTCCAAGCCGTCGAGGAGTTGGTTCGCAACCGCGCCGCTCAGCTCTCCTCGCCGCTCCCGTTCGTGGACAGTGCTAGCGACTCGCCCCGCTCCACGCCGCCGTCCTCCCCTCGCTCGTCCTCCACCGACGAGGAGTGGAGCGCGCCCTCACGCCCCAAGCCGTACTCCCGGTCGGTGGACGACCGCCGTTCCCGCAAGAAGGAGCAGAACAAAAACGCCGCCACTCGTTACCGCCAGAAAAAGAAGGCTGAGATCGAAGTGCTGCTCAGCGAGGAGCAAGCTCTCCGCCAGCGTCACACGAACCTTGACGACAAGTGCTCCGACTTGCAGCGCGAGATCCGTTACCTGAAAGGGCTCATGCGCGATCTCTTCAAGGCCAAAGGTCTGATCAAGTAAACTCACCCCTGTCGCCGCCTCCAGCGAAAGAATACTGACCGTACGAGCGCGAAAGTGAAGCGCAGCTTTCGAATAGTCCTCCTAAAAGAGGGAGTTTTTTGTTATATTGAGGTTTAACATTTAAGTTAAAATAATCGTGCTAATATTTTACTGTACGTTTTTTAAATGAGCAGAGTTAAAGTCATTCGAGCAGCATTTTTCATTCGCATTAGTAAGCCGAGAGATGTAAACACCTTATAACACCAGGTGGCGCCATTATCATCACCATCATCATCATTGTCATTCATCTTTCATGATTAGAAGATAGGTCGCATTTGTTGTTATGAAAATGTTATTTTTTAAATTTTATTCTAATTGTCGGTTTAACTAGGTACTATATTGTTTTCTTGCCTATCAATTAATGTTACATGATACAAATTAAAACAAAATTTTATGGAATTATTTTACAGTTTATAATGATATATATTTTCATACATTAAATGAAATGCGACGGCGGAATATATGGTTTCATTTGTTCCTTCAAAAGCGATAAATCTTCAGTCATTATTGGTCCATGGTCAGGCGTAGAATATTCGCTGTCCTTCACAAGTACTGAAATTGTAGCTACGATATAATTAGGTTAGCTTAGGTAATAACTGATTTAACAATGAAAGAAAACATTGCTTTAATTCCTTCATTATAGTGGTAAATTGGTAATTACCTACTACGGACTGTTATAATTACAGAATAGAATATTTTTTGTGATATTTAATTACTCCCATGAGTACTTTATAAAGTATCGATAGTAAATAAATACAAAAAAGATTTGTTTTTAATTTGTTTTGACTTCAAGGGCAACGGCTCAAACACGACCGGTTTTGCGAATGGTAACGACATGTTGCAATAAAAAAATGGAAGCCCTTTGGTACTTATTTTTTATGTGTACCTACAATAAAATATAAATAAAATAAGGTACAAACTCAAACAGCAAAACTACATACCGATAATAACGGATATTTTTTATTATGTTGACGTTGGCTTTTCCTGTTCCAGTAGTTCCATTTGATGAATTTAATCTAAAATGTGACATTTAAAAAGTTTGAAACCTAACTAATATAAAATTTTTAAATATGAGATATTTAGCTAACTTTTATTTATTAAAAAAGGTTTACCTATAGTTAATTATTGGGTATGGCAACCTAAAAGAAGGGGCATCTTCAATCAAACATACAATTGAAGTGTTATAAATCTTTAAAATTCCGAATTACATAATTTAAAGTTTGTGTGTGCCACAATATATTTGAGTCTTTATTTTATGTATCGGTAATTAGAAAAATCAATTAATATCAATCTGTGTATCTTAATTAAAATACCTAAATCAAAGTCAAACTGCGTCTCAAATTTAAAATCATTGCGATATTATGTATATTTTTAAATATGAATGATAATCACCGTTTTTTTTGTTTCCTATCAGGCGAGGGAGTGGCTGTGAAATAGACTTGTGTAGCTCGCAAGCGAAGGATAAAAAAGATATATAACTTTCCCGAAGAGCTAATTTGTCTTCATCTCACTTGTGCAACAATTAAATCCCTATATCCGCATGATAAGATTTATTTTGTGCATAGACAATTTCGCTGCTATTGTGTTATCCTGAGCCGAACGATAGAGAGTAAAAAAAAATGCATTTCTACAACGAAAGAAAGAAATAAGAGCAATGCCGTACGTAATGTGAATTGTGTGTATTTACTGTGGTAGTGTGTATTTTACGTTCATCCGTTTAAATTAATTTTATTATAATACTGGCTTTTGCCCGCGACTCCGTCCGCGTGGACATGTAATATGATGTAGATAAGTATGTCGCTAATGTTTTAATCCAGATAATGAACTATTACTATATTTCAAGTTTAGTTTCATCGGAATCGATCTAGTCGTTTTAGCGTGCGTGATGCGTGCACAAACAAACCCCAAACAGTAAAAAAAATGCTTTTATTTAATGTACAGAATCGCAAAGATAATAATTTTATTTTAATTATGCAGATAAAGAATAGATTATAAAATATACGTTAGAGACATAAATATAATATAACGTGTTCGTAATGTAAATTAGCTCTTTACTCTTTCCTACGGCTCTGGATGAAACGCAGATAGATTATTCGTTTGTTTCGGTACTGAGCTAGTGAGTTAAAGATATAAAAGAGAGATATAAATCTGTAGTTCAGAAGATATATTAGGTCTCTTTTCTTTTCAGTGATATATTTTGCGCAAGTCTACTGTGTAATCTCATGGATACCCTATAGCCAGCTGCAAGTTTATGTCAGACTCTTACTGACTAAAACACACCCATAGTTTATGCTTATGGCCAGAAGGGCCTTACGAGCTTCATCTGATGCGATCATCCCCCCCAGAGAAAGGGATGATGCGGTATAACCGCCTCTTTATCGTCGCCGGCGTCGAAGACGAAGTCGCCGCGACGTGCGAGGAATCGCTCGTCTTCGGATGTGTCGGGTGCGCGCTCCGTTTTTATTTTGTTGCAATGCAAGGTTTTACGCTACAATAACTTCTTCTATGTCACTTCTTTCTCTTAAGGAATTTTCAATAAGTAAGAAATATTCTTTAACCAAAACTGAACGACTATTATTCTTAAACAAAAAAATCCATCACAACCGTTATATATAGTTTTCTTCTTTATAAGTTCATGAAAAGCACTGTTATTACGATTTTGGCAAGGTTTTTTAAAGCCAATAGTTTAGACTTTAAAGGGGGGGGGAACCCTACTCGAACAAAAATTAGCACTTTAAAGTTTAATATTTCGCAAACGGATGTCTTAATCTAATCATCCCAGGTTAAAAAATTAGCTCACAATTTATGTAGGTGCTTAGGATGACTTTGCCATGTCAAGAAACTGAATGCCAACAATACCATTTTTGTGCAAAACAAGAGTATGAAAATATTTGGGTTGATCCCAGGAATACCTAGGTCGCATTGTGCCCACTCCTCCCTAATGTGGGGGGGGGGGGGGGCGAAGGCGTCGTGCCGTCGGCTTTACCACGGTTGATAAAGTCGATGGCGCTATACGGAGCCCCGGTATGGGCGGAGTGCCTATCGTCCCGCACGAGGGCCCTCTTGCGCAGACCGCAGAGGGTCATCGCGTCCCAGGCCCGGGCTTACCGCACGGTCAGTCACGGGGCTGCCTGCGTCCTCGCAGGTACGCTCCGGTGGGAAGTTGATGTCCTGGTTCTGTCCCAGGTGCATCAACACAGGGCCGCGGCGAGAATGCAGGGCGAGCGGCCCGTTCTGGAGGAGGTAGAACGGGTTCGAACCGAGGCGCAGACGGAGGCTCTGTGCCCATGGGGCTAGGCACTCGCCAACCCAGCCGCTGGCCACGATCGAGGCGATCCGTCGGGTGTTGGAGGAGTGGGTAGGGTGCCAGCGGGGCAGCTACCGCCTGGTGCAGGTACTGACCGGACAATGATGACCTGCACCACCAGTCGTTCCACTGACACATCTTCTCGGCGTGAGATGTGGCCAAAGAAAATGAGAATACGGCTTTGTACGATGCAAGAAAGGATTTGTGTCCACTGTAGTACCAAGCATTTTCCTCCAGCACTACATTTCTTGAGCGTCTTTCTTCTTTTCCTCACTCTCTCGCAAGGTCCTCGCCTCAGCACCGTAGAGGAATATGAGAAACACTAATGCCCTGACGAGTCGTGTTCGACGTTCGTGGCTTTTGTGATGTTCCTGTTTACATATTTTATAAAGCTTGTCCATAGCTGACCTCGTGATTGCCATTCGCCGCTTGATTTTATCTGCACATTCACTATTGTTTGAAATCACTGCTCCAAGGTAGATGTATGACTAAATGACATCGCAGTTCGCGATTTTAGTGACTTCTGGCGAGTTGTTATTAGCATGTTCGACAGTCATAATCTTGGTCTTACTGTGATTTATTTTCAGGCCAAAATCACGACTAACTTGCTCTATTTTGCTTCACAGAGAGTTCATGTCTGCACACCTCAGATTGCAATTCTTAAAGCCTCCAATACTGATTCCCTCTGACCAATTCTCGAGTGTTATTCTCATAATGAGTTTATGTAGGTATTAAACAGTATCGGAAATACAATACAACCTTGTCGTCTCCGGCACGGGGGCGGAAATGGTTCGATAAAATGTCGTCTGCTCTGATGCTGCTCCATCTTCAAGGGCGGATTATATAGTCATATATTCGTGGTATATTAAATATTGAAAGTACTTAAATAAAATCCCCCTGGGTTTGGTCCACCTGTACCCAGCCCAGGGAGGTGGTCATGACCCTCATGACCCCCCCCCTGGATCCGCCCTTGTCCATCTTCGTATAGTCTTCTCAAAAGGTGAACAAGCTGTTTAGTGTTCCTATGTCCAGGAGAGTCTCCCAAAATATTGGCGACCTTACCAAAACGAATGCTTTTGAGAAGACCACAAAGCAGATGTAGGTTGGCTTATTGAACTCCCTAGCCTTTTTAATGATTTGGCGCACATTCAAGATCTGTTCACAAGTTCCTTTTCCTTTTACGAAGCCACCTTTTTCCGGGGCAATCTCCTTAGGCACACACTGTAAATGTCAAAAAAGTTAGCAAATGTGCGGGCAGGCATCAAATGTGATTCGAATCTGCCTGTTCCGCTCTCCGGCGGTCGACTAGTTCTAAAATATCAACAAATCTTAGTACTAGTCCTTTAAGAACCTATTTGAATACTTTCACGTTAGGTATATGCATGGTTTCTCACCGTTTAGCTTCATTGGGTCACATTGGTTCCTCCAATGTGCACTACAAGTGCTCAGACCTGCATGATTTGTTAACTAATTAGCTGTAAGACTTTATGAATACATTTTGACCTTTTTCGAATACATATGTGTACCTTCGCGTTATATCGTCACCGAGTGGCAGGGTATAAAATAATACATTTGACTCCCTTATGGCAAAGAACGTATGACGACGTATGTAGCAGGATATAGTAAATAACGGATAGGTATCAAAAAGACCGTTTTTTTAATGTTTCTGGTCCCCACGGCTAGGGCACAGGCTTTCCCTATGGTCGGAATAGGGATATTGGGCTATGACCCACAAGGGCCGACCACTTGTGGTTTGTTTTTATCAGTAAATGTTTTCTTTAGATATTTATACAAAGTTTTGCAGTCAAATGTCGCAATAAAATGCAGTAATAGTGTACAACAAAACGCAAACCTAAATGCGGCATAGATCACCTGATTATAATGGGGGATGTCATGAGGTTAAACCTTAAAAAAAGAGCACGCAACACATTAAACTAGAACATATATAAGCAGTTATGAAAATGGAAAAAATATTTTTATTTCATTAACAGTTAGAAAAAGTGAATAAAAATTACTCTTTTGTAGATGGTTTAGAAAATGACCAAAGGCAAAAAATGCTATAAATCGACTGTATTTTTATTGAGAATCTAAAGAGAAAAGAGAAGACCTAAAATATATTGCACGTTTAACTACTACATTGTTCGTAATTT